TCTTAGAATGGACATAAAATTTAAAATCTCAAACTTGGTCAATAAGAGTATATATTCATCAGTTAGACTTACCAGGTGTCATGACTAAAGAATAGAATCTCTATATAACACAATATATCTATTAAACTAAATAATTGTAACTTTAAAGGGATACTACCTCTTAGAATGGACATAAAATTTAAAATCTCAAACTTGGTCAATATGAGTATATATTCATCAGTTAGACTTACCAGGTGTCATGACTAAAGAATAGAATCTCTATATAACACGATATATCTATTAAACTAAATAATTATAACTTTAAAGGAATACTACCTCTTAGAATGGACATAAAATTTAAACTCTCAAACTTGGTCAATAAGAGTATATATTCATCAGTTAGACTTACCAGGTGTCATGACTAAAGAATAGAATCTCTATATAACACGATATATCTATTAAACTAAATAATTATAACTTTAAAGGTATACTACCTCTTAGAATGGACATAAAATTTAAACTCTCAAACTTGGTCAATAAGAGTATATATTCATCAGTTAGACTTACCAGGTGTCATGACTAAAGAATAGAATCTCTATATAACACCATATATCTATTAAACTAAATAATTATAACTTTAAAGGGATACTACCTCTTAGAATGGACATAAAATTTAAAATCTCAAATTATTACTTAGTTTTATAGATTTATTAGATTATAGAGGGATTCTGTTGTATAGTTTTAACACCAGGCCACGTATGTCCTAGGTTCTTATCTTCTAACATTGATTCTAGGACATCCTAGTGCTAAGATCATTTCGAGAATACGTGGCCTGATAAGTCAACTAATAAACAAAGACTCATTTTAACCAAGTTTAAAAATTTCAATTTTTTGGTCATCCTAAAAGGTAGTATCCCTTTAAAAAATATTGATAGTGTTTGTAATAAGAGGATATTATTTCTGTACTCGATATATGAACAATATATAATTAATACTATAAGGTTATTGCCCTCCTTCAAATAAATTCAAACTATTCGTAGTTCTACATCAATATTTAGCCAATTTCAAATTATTTACATAGACGCTCTCACTTCCAGTGGTGTCCATTTTTTTGGATATTTTTGTCTCCAATTTAAACAGTCTAATTAATATGAGACCAAACTTTCCTTCCGTATTTTGTGAGTTTTTATTTTTAATATAGCCACTTCAGTTAATCTTATTAATGTTAGACCAAACTTTCGTTCCGTTTTTTTGTGAGTTTCTATTTTTAATATAGCCACTAGGGTCTAAAGACAGCCCTCTTGAATGTTCGTCAAGTTAACCTTTGACTTAATCTCTACTTTAACCGCCGAGTTAGGTCAAAAGGTTTTAGTGGAATTGCAGGAACCACAGACATCTGATTGGAAATTAGAATGGTGTAAATTGATGCTATCAGTGTCTCTGATACACATAAAATATTTAGAAAACCTCTTTACAATCTCTTTAACAAGAACCACAGACATCTGATTGGAAATTAGAATGGTGTAAATTGATGCTATCAGTGTCCCTGATACACATAAAAAATTTAGAAAACCTCTTTACAATCTCTTTAACAAGAACCACAGACATCTGATTGAAAATTAGAATGATGTAAATTGATGCTATCAGTGTCCCTGATACATATAAAATTTTTAGAAAAACTCTTTACAATCCCTTTAAGCCCTTGATTTTTTTTTTCAAGTTTAGAATCAATAAATAGATCAAAACGTGGAATTAAAAAAAATATATATCCACACAAAGATGACTCGTCAACTCTATTTGGTCGATCTCTAATCATTTTTTGTAATTTTTTTGTCCGTTTTGTTTTGAATTACAAGTAGGCTACAGACAGTAACCGGAGGGGGCATTGCAAAAAAAAATTACAATCTTTAAAGATCTCAGCTGTATAAAAACTAGAAATGTTCCTTTTGTACTAGGATATATCAATTTTTGAATGGCCATGGTTAGCTATTTTCGGGGTGGCTTTGGATAGAAATTTCAATTAATAAATCTATAATACATGATAGTCTTCATTAACGGAACTATGCCAATATTGTCACGTGATCACATGATTCTGGTAGTTCAAACATCAGGGGCTGGTCGTTTGAGACTACAAGTGTTTGTAAAAGATACAAAAAAAAAAATCGTAAGATAACTGAATGGGAGCCGTTAATTAACGGAACTATGCCAAGATTATCACGTGATCTCGTAATTCTAAGAGGTTCAAACATCAGAGGCTGGTCGTTTGAGACTACAAGTGTTAACATAACTGAATGGCAGCCATGATTTACCGGAATTATGTCCAGATTATCACGTGATCACATGATTCTGGTAGTTCAAACATCAGAGGCTGGTCGTTTGAGACTACTAATATTGTAAACGATGCAAATAACATCAAAAATAACAATTTAACTGAATGGCAGCCATTATTTACCGGAACTGTGTCCAAATTATCACGTGATTCTGGTAGTTCAAACATCAGGGGCTGGTCGTTTGAGACTACTAATGTTGTAAACGATGCAAAAAACAAAAAAATAACAATTTAACATAACTGAATGGCAGCCATGATTTACCGGAACTGTGTCCAGATTATCACGTGATCTCGTAATTCTAAGAGGTTCAAACATCAGGAGCTGGTCGTTTGAGACTACAAGTGTTAACATAACTGAATGGTAGCCATGATTTACCGGAACTGTGTCCAGATTATCACGTGATCTCGTAATTCTAAGAGGTTCAAACATCAGGGGCTGGTCGTTTGAGACTACTGATGTTGTAAACGATGCAAATAACATCGTAAAATAGGGACTGATACTTAAAATAACTTACCAAATCATTTTGTTTATTATACAGAGCGATGAAGAGAGTATATAAATTTAATAAATTCAACGCAAATATCCTGAAATCATAAAAAAATCTTCATCAATAATCCATCATCATCATCATCAATCATCAATTACAATCATCATCAATCATCATTCATCATCATCAAAAAAACTGATAGGAAAATCGATGGTCTATTATTAGCGATTTGTTGTTATACCATATTTGGATAACTTGACATGAAGGACAAATAGAATCTAAGAGGAAAGTAGGTGGAGCTTAGGTGTGCTACAACTAGTCCATCATCATCATCATCATCATCATCATCATCATCATCATCATCAAAAACTGATAGGAAAATCGATGGTCTATTATTAGCGATTTGTTGTTATACCATATTTGGATAACTTGACATGAAGGACAAATAGAATCTAAGAGGAAAGTAGGTGGAGCTTAGGTGTGCTACAACTAGTCCATCATCATCATCATCATCATCATCATCAAAAACTAATAGGAAAATCCATGGTCTATTATTAGCGATTTGTTGTTGTACCATATTTGGATAACTTGACATGAGGGACAAATAGAATCTAAGAGGAAAGTAGGAGGAGCTTAGGTGTGCTACAACTAGTACATTTTGATGTTATTGCACGGCTGAAGCTCCACCCCTTTTTTTTAAAAAACAAAACAAAACTCATGACTTGTACGAACTTCTAATTCATTGGATAAAACAGTTTTGCATGTAGCGTTTCTACGGAGGGGAAGCCCCCCACCACACCCCCAGAAAAGATGCTTTCCCGGCATAGTGAAAGAAGGGTCTGTGCCCCTCAATAATTTTGTGGCACCTGCTCGACCCCCTCACCTGCTGTTTCCTAGATACGCCACTAGGCGTGCCGTTAGCTGTCAATCATTTTATTACAAGTCACGTGTACCACGTGTCTTACTCATTAACATATTTTAAACCAACCCATCCTAAGGAATTCGTTTGTTTAAATATGTTAACTCATAAGAACGTGGGTTACACTACCCATATCCCTTATAATTTTTAACTGTAAACTCACCTAGCTAACTGAAGCCGAAGACTTGTTCTGGGATGATATTTCTCCATTAACGATATTAAATCAGAGAGATTGGGAAACAAAGTTGCTATCAAAGTCATTACGACTGTTAGCTGAAAAATAGAAATATCAAATTCAAAAAACTGAAATGAATGGAGTTTTACGTTCTACTCTCTAGAATTATCTGCATTTATTGACCAATCATACCTTAGTCTCAGAAACATGAAGTTTTTAGCTAAGCTAATCAGTAATAGTGTTCACAGCTCACTGTCGAAATTTGAACCTTCAAATCCGTGTTTAAAAGTTAAAATGACGAGTCGTCTTTTCTTGAGACACTACCATATATAGAAAAGACATCTATAGAAATAGTGAGTAAAATTCCAAATTTGAGATATTTTTGAAGGAATTATGCGATTTTCGTACATTTCTAGTATTTCTGAAGACTATTTACATATATTCAAGACTCAAATCAACCCTCCAAAATCGTGCATCTGTACCTTGAAGAAGGTATTTTCGAAGGAATTATGTGATTTTCGTACATTTCTAGTATTTCTGAAGATTATTTACATATATTCAATACTCGAATCAACTTCCTAAAATGCCACATCTATCCCTTTAAACAAGTAATAGAAAAAGAAGTTCCTAGTTTGAGATATTTTTAAAGGAATTATACGATTTTCGTAAATTTCTAGTTCTTCTGTTTACATATATTCAAGACTCGAATCAACCCTTGAAAATGGCGCATCTGTCCCTTTAATCGACATAAAAAATAAACCACATTTACCTCGTTTTCGTCCCAGAATCCCAGGGTAAAAGTTGGGTCGTTAAATTTTTTGAGTTCGTTCTCTCGACCCCTCTCGACACATAGCTGAACGATATAGGCACTTAGAGCTAGGGACATCAAAACTAACACATTCGCTAATATCCGAAAAAATATCAACCATTTACTGGAAGTATAGAAATAAAATGAACTAATGAAGACTGACAACGCCTTGCAGTGTGCAATGAGGGAAATTTTGTTAGGACACCGGCACTAGCCTGCTCTTTTTCGATTTCCAACTGTCGAGGGATCTTTAACATGCACAGCCTGTAGCACACAGAGTCTTGGTTTATTGTCCTATCTGAACGACGACTAGACACTTTTTCCATGTCAGTCCCTGTGACCTGTAGCACACGGGGCTTGCTAGCAGCTTTTGTAATAGCTACGTCATAAAATGCTTAGTTTTAGTGGAATTGCAGGAACCACAGACGTCTGTTGAAAATTGGAATGGTGTAAATTGATGCTATCAGTGTCCCTGATACACATAAAAAATTTAGAAAACCTCTTTACAATCTCTTTAACAAGAACCACAGACGTTTCAATGGAATTGCAGGAATCACAGACGTCTGATTGAAAATTAGAATGGTGTTAATTGATGCTATCAGTGTACATACAAAATTTAGAAAACCTTTTCACGACCCCTTTAATAAATAGATAAATCTACTTACTTCAATTTTTCTCGAATTTTCTCTTTTTCTTCAAGAATTGTTTCCTAAAAATACAAGTAGGGTTTTTAAAAAAATTCCAAAAAGGGTGGCGGAAAAACCACGGCATAACAACTTATAGTTTCGAGGAAATTTTACATCACCTAAATGTTGGCTAAAAGTATTGGCAATGCTCTTTCCTGGGTTATCTGTACATAATTATAGCAAGGGTCAAATGCCCAATGTAGTTCACCTAGACGCATTCAAAAGAAAATAAGATTTCAATGTCGTTTCTTTTTTTCTTAATTTTGTATCCATTGTAATCTAACACGTTATCTACCCCAGTTACGTTCTTATGAAGTAAATTATAACCAATCAAAGCGTGCAATGTCAAACCTGTTTCTCGAAACATTGACGAATTGTGGATTAAAGAAACCCAAAAAGCAAAAATATTGCTCTACTTCGGTTCCGCTATTCCAAAATAGAAAATTGTTTAAAAAAAACTCGTTCTACATGACACAGTTTAATTGGTTAAAAATAACGTCATTAGAATGTAACTGCGGTAGATAACTGGTTGGATTACAATGGACAGAAAAACAAGAAACGAAATTGTAATGTTGTATTTTCATAATATTGTGTACAGTCTTATAGAAGCGTGATTAAGTTCGGTTCCAAAAATATGTTCTACATGACACAGTTTAATTGGTTAAAAATAACGTCATTAGAATGTAACTGCGGTAGATAACTGGTTGGATTACAATGGACAGAAAAACAAGAAAAGAAATTGTAATGTTGTATTTTCATAATATTGTGTACAGTCTTATAGAAGCGTGATTAAGTTCGGCCACTTGGTTCCAAAAATATGTTCTACATGACACACTTTAATTGGTTCAAAATAACGTAACAGTGGTAGATAACGTGTTGAACACTGGACCTTCAGGTTAGTGAGCAAGCGTCTAACTCACTGTCAGGGGGAAACTGGGTTGAAAAATCTGAAGGTATCATCTCAACCTATGCTAGGATTGAACCCTGGACCTTCAGGTTAGTGAGCAAGCGTCTAACTCACTGTCAGGGGGAAACTGGGTTGAAAAATCTGAAGGTATCATCTCAACCTATGCTAGGATTGAACCCTGGACCTTCAGGTTAGCGAGCAAGCGTCTAACTCACTGACAGGGGGAAACTGGGTTGAAAAATCTGAAGGTATTATCTCAACCTATGCTGGGATTGAACCCTGGACCTTCAGGTTAGCGAGCAAGCGTCTAACTCACTGACAGGGGGAAACTGGGTTGAAAAATCTGAAGGTATTATCTCAACCTAACGTCATTAGAATGTAACTGCGGTAGATAACTGGTTAGATTACAATGGACAGAAAAACAAGAAAAGAAATTGTAATGTTGTATTTTCATAATATTGTGTCTAGTCTTATAGAAGCGTGATTAAGTTCGGCCACTTGGTTCCAAAAATATGTTCTACATGACACAGTTTAATTGGTTAAAAATAACGTCATTAGAATGTAACTGCGGTAGATAACTGGTTGGATTACAATGGACAGAAAAACAAGAAAATAAATTGTAATGTTGTATTTTCATAATATTGTGTACAGTCTTATAGAATCGTGATTAAGTTCGGCCACTTGGTTCCAAAAATATGTTCTACATGACACAGTTTAATTGGTTAAAAATAACGTAACAGTGGTAGATAACGTGTTAGATTACAATGGAGACGAAAATATCAGAAGAAAACGAAATTGTAATGTATTGTAATCTTACATCACTGGCAGGGGGAAACTGGGTTAAAAAATCTGAAGGTATTATCTCAACCTATGCTAGGATTGAACCCTGGACCTTCAGATTAGCGAGCAAGCGTTTAACTCACTGACAAGGGGAAATCAGGTTGAAAAATCTGAAGGTATTATCTCAACCTATGCTAGGATTGAACCCTGGACCTTCAGATTAGCGAGCAAGCATCTAACTCACTGACAGGGGGAAACTGGGTTGAAAAATCTGAAGGTATCATCTCAACCTATGCTAGGATTGAACCCTGGACCTTCAGGTTAGCAAGCAAGTGTCTAACTCACTGACAGGGGGAAACTGGGTTGAAAAATCTGAAGGTATCATCTCAATCTATGCTGGGATTGAACCCTGGACCTTCAGGTTAGCAAGCAAGTGTCTAACTCACTGACAGGGGGAAACTGGGTTGAAAAATCTGAAGGTATCATCTCAATCTATGCTGGGATTGAACCCTGGACCTTCAGGTTAGCAAGCAAGTGTCTAACTCACTGACAGGGGGAAACTGGGTTGAAAAATCTGAAGGTATCATCTCAATCTATGCTAGGATTGAGCCCTGGACCTTCAGGTTAGCGAGCAAGGGTCTAACTCACTGACAGGGGGAAACTGGGTTGAAAAATCTGAAGGTATTATCTCAACCTATTCTGGGATTGAACCCTGGACCTTCAGGTTAGTGAGCAAGCGTCTAACTCACTGACAGGGGGAAACTGGGTTGAAAAATCTGAAGGTATTATCTCGACTGGACCTTAGACCTTCAGGTTAGCGAGCAAGCATCTAACTCACTGACAGGGGGAAACTGGGTTGAAAAATCTGAAGGTATTATCTCAACCTATGCTAGGATTGAACCCTGGACCTTCAGGTTAGCGAGCAAGCATCTGGGAAACTGGGTTGAAAAATCTGAAGGTATCATCTCAACCTATGCTAGGATTGAACCCTGGACCTTCAGGTTAGCCAGCAAGCATCTAACTCACTGACAGGGAGAAACTGGGTTGAAAAATCTGAAGATATTATCTTGATCTATGTTATAATATTGAGTCCAGTCTTACCTTAAATGTTGTAATAATAGAAGCATGTTTAAGTTTGGCTGTTTCTTGATTTGCGACCATAAAATCCCATTCAGTAAACAGTTTCCAAGAAAATGTGAATTGCTCATCTTTATTTGATAGTCGACTTTGTCGTGAATTTGAAGCCATTCTGGAAGATAAAGAAAACAGGCGTCTAAATATTTGCTTTCTCGGTTAATAAAGGTCAATTTCAGCTGCCTGTATCCCTTTTTAAATTGGAACCTAACGTCTAGTTCGACTACAATTTCATTAAAATGTTCATATTTATTGAGAATTTGAAGCCATTCTGAAAGGTAAAGAAATGTAGTCGCCTAAATATTTGCTTTTTCCGTTAAAAGAAAGGTCAATTTGAGCTGCCTGTTCCCTTTTTAAATTGGAACCTAACGTCTAGTTCGACTGCAATTTCATTAAAATGTTCATATTTGTCGTGAATTTGAAGCCATTCTGAAAGATAAAGAAAACAGGCGCCTAAATATTTGCTTTCTCGGTTAATAAAGGTCAATTTGAGCTGCCTGTATCCCTTTTTAAATTGGAACCTAACGTCTAGTTCGACTACAATTTCATTAAAATGTTCATATTTGTCGTGAATTTGAAGCCATTCTGAACGGAACACAAACTGACAGCACTGGGTCAAATTCATCAAATTTGATGAACGTTCAAATGGCTGTCATTAGACCCTAACTGAAGTGGTTATATAAAAAACAGTTCTAATCTTAATAAGACTGGAATAAGATAGAAAATGTCTTACCGTTTTAGTACAACAATGAAACTAAAGGCAAAAGTAGCGAAACCACATAGTAAATAGGCTAATGGAAGTCTGTAGCCATTTCCTATCACTGTTTCATTACCATAATACCCGTAAAATAATAATGATTGACGCATAATGCCCTGAAAAATAATGCATTATTGATAAATAATATATATGGTGGGCTGAATGCATTATTAAAGGAACATTTGCGCCATTTTCAGGTGTTGATTTGAGTCTTGAATATATGTAAATAGTCTTCAGAAGTACTAGAAATGTACCAAAATCACATAATTCCTTCAAAAATACAACAATACACTATACATGGTCCTTGGCTTGGTTGATTTGAGTCTTGAATATATGTAAATAGTCTTCAGAAATACTAGAAATGTATAAAAATTACATAATTCCTTTAAAAATACAACGATACACTATACATGGTCCTTGACTTGGTTGATTTTGATGAACGTTCAAGAGGGCTGTCGTTAGACCCCAACTGAAGTGGCCATATTAAAAATAAAAACTAATAAAACGGAAAGAAATTTCAAAATTTGATTGATAAAGCAGACGTCATGGAGTAAGGTCAAAAGGTTAATTTGATGAACGTTCAAGAGGGCTGTCGTTAGACCCTAACTGAAGTGGCCATATAAAAAAAAAACAGAACGAAAGTGAAAATTAAGTGACCAAACGAACCTCTGCGTCCCAAATAGTTTTAAGATCGTAAGCTGTTTCCATCTCATCAACTGGTATCGTTTTTCTACTGTTACTACCGTGAGGTTCACCGGCCACTAACTCTGGTATAATAATAAAACAAGTCGGCATGATGGTCAGAAACACGTTTATCCAAATTAACCATCTTAGAAAAACGAAATATGATACAACCACGGAACCAAAATGACCTGTAATAAAATTTTAAAACTTAAGACTTCGTTTTGGGTTTATATTTGTCGTCGTGGTACCGCGACGGTACAAAAAAACAGGGCATTAGAAAAAAAATGGCCATCCCTACCTAACCCTAACAAAGTCACTTAATATTATTCTTGACAATCAAAATGACTTCACGCTTTAAAAACTAGCGCACCCATGTGTCCTATCTTATCCGTACCGTTGTTAACAGCCTTAGAGAACACGCATCGTGACGGTACAAATAGCCAGCATTGTTTGTTTTTATACACAATCAGAAAATGAAATGAATGGAGTTTTACGTGTTACTATTCTGCCATACAGACTTTTTTATTTTTGCATCTTAGACGACCTTGTTGCCTAAAGCCGCGAATAGACGAAGTAGGATGCGGTCTACGATGCGGGATTATCCATACAGAATCAAAAAGAAGCAAGTACACAAGGTTCTTCACAATGTCCAACTATTACGAACTTCGTCTAATACCTTGACATCATCAGCCACCCAGCCCGAAAGTTTGTAAAATCCAGGCAACAATGTTTCAAGTCTTTATGTCGAGGACTCTGATTGGCTGTATTAGCTTATGTACAAGTACAATCCAATCAAATCACTCCATTCAGTGATACAAGAAAGGTTGCTTTTGCATTCAAGGTATAGAAGCTTCAAACATAATCAGACGTATTCAAGTTTGTTGTGGGGAAGAAAGGATAGTGTTTCAAGCTATTGTAATTTATGAAATATCCCCATACTTCTATATTCGAGAGATAGTTCAGATATTATCGTATATATAACGATGTCAGTTGTCACTGTCCCCTGAAAATAAGGAGACCCATCTTTAACTTACTTTCAATTCTTTTGATTTTCATTTCCCACGGTACCAAGGCTGAAACCAAATTATCCCAGTTTCTTTTCAATTGACGAAATAACTGAAAAATAAATATTTTTGGTTAAAAAAAAAGATACTGGTCCTTGATCAACTTCTTGGCAATTATTTTACAAGGATAATATTCAATGCCACAAGACGTACCAAGCAAATGACGTTGTGTATAGATTCCAAAGCTCTAACCGACTGTGAAACAGCCCTTCCTCAAATTACTATACAAAAGGTTTAACTCTTCGCTATATTTTTACCTGTTTTCCTTTTTGTTGATAGCCTTTACTTTTAGATAGCTGGCCTTCGTGTCGACCAACAAACGCCTTGGCTAGTCTGCAATTAAAACAAAAATATTAATCATAACTCCACTTCTGTAGAAACACTCCAAGTCAATTTTGAGTGGTCTGTCTGTCTGGCGCTAAAACTGCTCACATGAGGAAGTATATCAATTATAAGTGAGTAAGTATTTCATAGTGAAAAGTGGTATCAGGTGTCTAGAAGAGTAAGCATACCCTGCCTGGTACAAAACTGTTCACATGAGGAAGTATATCAATTATAAGTGAGTAAGTATTTCATAGTGAAAAGTGGTATCAGGTGTCTAGAAGAGTAAGCATACCCTGGCTGGCACAAAACTGCTCACTCAATTATAAGTGAGTAAGTATTTCATAATGAAAAGTGGTATCAGGTGTCTAGAAGAGTAAGCATACCCTGCCTGGTACAAAACTGTTCACATGAGGAAGTATATCAATCATAAGTGAGTAAGTATTTCATAATGAAAAGTGTTATCAGGTGTCTAGAAGAGTAAGCATACCTTGCCTGGCACAAAATAATACTAGAGGAACATTAGTAGTAGCTAATGAACCACCATCCCCTGTCCGCCACCACTACGTTTCCAATTCGTTCATCAAACCACGATTCCAACGGCTCCTTCAAAATTGGTGGAATTGAAACACTAGATACCTTGGACATTAATTCTAAAAAAACTAACAAACCTCAAAATTTTCATCTTTTTGGCCATGGGCCATGGTTGGCATTGTACGTTCTCCATAATATCTTTCTGTTCCCGAATCTGTTCCAGCAGATCCTCCTCGCTGGTAGGTTCGTCTTGATCTTCATCGTACATTCGTAATATATCCTCTTCATCGCTGAAACATAGATACAGATGTCATTAATTACATGTCCCTGGTTTTTGCTTCGTTTATTTCAGTGGGCAATTCAGTCATTCTTAAGGGAAAAGTGACACTGATAGAATCAATTTACATCATTCTAATTTTCAATCAGACGTCTGTGGTTCCTGCAATTCCACTTAAAATAAGGGTTTTATGACGTCACGAATCACGATGTCCTTATGTAATAAAGCATATTTTGTGATTAGAGTCGTCATCAAACACTTAGTTTTAGTGTAATTACAGGAATCACAGACATCTGATTGAAAATTGGAATGATGTAAATTGATGCTATCAGTGTCCTTGATACACATAAAAAATTTAGAAAACCTCTTTACAATCTCTTTAACAAGAACCACAGACGTCTGATTGAAAATTAGAATGATGTAAATTGATGATATCAGTGTCTCTGATACACATAAAAAATATAGAAAACCTCTTTACAATCTCTTTAACAAGAACCACAGACATCTGATTGAAAATTAGAATGGTGTAAATTGATGCTATCAGTGTCCCTGATACACATAAAAAAATTAGAAAACCCCTTTACAATCTCTTTAACAAGAACCACAGACGTCTGATTGAAAATTAGAATGGTGTAAATTGATGCTATCAGTGGCCCTGATACACATAAAAAATTTAGTAAACCTCTTTACAATCTCTTTAACAAGAACCACAGACATCTGATTGAAAATTAGAATGATGTAAATTGATACTATCAGTGTCCCCGATATACATAAAAATTTAGAAAACCATTTTACAATCCCTTTAACAAGAACCACAGACATCTGATTGAAAATTAGAATGATGTAAATTGATGTTATCAGTGTCTCTGATATACATAAAAAATTTAGAAAACCATTTTACAATCCCTTTAACAAGAACCACAGACGTCTGTTTGAAAATTAGAATGATGTAAATTGATGCTATCAGTGTCCCCGATATACATAAAAAAATGTAGTAAACCTCTTTACAATCTCTTTAACAAGAACCACAGACGTCTGATTGAAAATTAGAATGATGTAAATTGATGCTATCAGTGTCCCTGATACACATAAAAAAATTAAGTAAACCTTGTTACAATCCCTTTAACATCTGACAGAGTAAATATGGACGGTTGCTGATATATTTTTATTTCCAGAATACGCATGATTGATCTAAATTCTAGTCTAAAACCTTACTTAAAATTTCATTAATTTACATTCCAGACTCGAGCTTATTAAAACAATTCTATTCTTCCATTAAAGGGATAGTGCGCCATTTTTGTACCAATCGTACCTTAGTCTCAGAAACAGGTTTTTTTTTAGCTAAACCAATCAGTAATAGTGTTCACAGTTCACTGTCAAAATTTAAGCTTTCAAATCCATGTGTGTCCAGAATTATCTCCGTTTGAAAGTGAAAAAGACGATACGATATATAGAAAAGACATCTATAGAAATAGTAAAAGAAATTCCTAGTTTGAGATATTTTTGAAGGAATTATGTGATTTTTGTACATTTCCAGTACTTCTGAAGGCTATTTACATATATTCAAAACTCAAATCAACCCCCCAAAATTGTGCACGTGTCCCTTTAAACAATTCTAGAATTATCCGCGTTTGAAAGTTAAATTTCTAGTTTGAAGTTTTTTTGATAGAATTGTGCGATTTTCGTACATTTCTAGTACTTCTGAAGACTATTTACATATATTCAAGACTCAAATCAACGCACCAAAAATGACGCACCTGTCCCTTTAAACAATTCCATTCTTCTATTAAAGTTTTTATACAAAATAAACAGCGACACAGTCGGATCGATTCTTCTGAAACATTTCAATAAACCTTTAGAACGACGACATTGAAGCCAAATTGTTTTCTTTGAAAACTCGTGCAAACACCAGAATGCATTATAACTTCGATTATTTTAAAGGGATATCTTTCTTGGTCTTGGTCGGAGACTTTTGTCGCCGATCAGAGTCTTGCCTTGATTTTCAATGACTCGCACGGCACACGAAGAGACAAAAATGTCCACTTAATCTTCAGAAGTGGATTGCCACCCTGAAAAATTCTGATACTATTGATACTATCAGTGTCCCTGATACACATGAAAAATTTATAAAACCTTTTTACAATCTCTTTAACAAGAACCACAGACATCTGATTGAAAATTAGAATGATGTAAATTGATGTTATCAGTGTCCCTGATACACATAAAAAATATAGAAAACCTTTTTACAATCTCTTTAACAAAAACCACAGATGTCTGATTAAAAATTAGAATGATGTAAATTGATGCTATCAGTGTCCTCTGATACACATGAAAAATTTACAAAACCTTTTTACAATCTCTTTAACAAGAACCACAGACATCTGATTGAAAATTGGAATGGTGTAAATTGATGCTATCAGTGTCTCCGATACACATAAAAAATTTAGAAAACCTCTTTACTATCCCTTTAATGGGGAAACTGTCCCTTTAAATGTTGAATTAATAGAAGAAAGAATAGATCATGAGACCAGTATTGGAAATTAAAGAATAGAAACAACTTGTGGCTATAATGCTCAAACCTGGAGTAAATCTTACTTAAGTTGCGAAAAGACGAAGTACGGTGTCCAGTGCAGTGTCCGGTGCGGGATTAACGACACATCAGAAAAGAGGAGAAACGAATCGTGGCCGCACCGTGTCCGGACGCGTACCTCGTATGTTCACTTCTTCTATTTTCGTTTTATCGATCATTACGCACCGTACACCAAACTGGACAATGAACTCTTTAGACTTCAGAGTTGCGGAAAATCTCCACAAAACAGGGCCTAGTTTTACTGTCTCTACACCAGCCGGCAACTTTCAAAATAGCTGTCAGAGGCTGGAATAGAGATAGATACTTCGGCCTAGTAAGTAAATCTTACTTAGACTTTAGAATTGCGGAATATTCCACCAAACATGGACTAGTTTTACTGTCTCTACACCAGCCGACAACTTTTAAAATAGCTGTCAGAGGCTGGAATAGAGGCAGATGTTTCGGCCTAGTAGTAATAATTCTCTGTAGTCAATCTTCAATTCTTTTTTTATAAAACTAGAATCTCCAACCTCGAGTAAAACTTAGTTAAACTAGCCCCTGTTCGATCAGATCACTAACAGTGGCGGCGCCTGAGACTGGAGGTACACATATAATTAATAAGGGGAGAGGGGTGGGGGATAGCCAGTTGGCGTTTCGACGTAGGGGGGCTGTTTTACCCCTCCCTCCCCCTACTGGTAAAATCAAGAAATGAGGTTGGAAGTGGGGATACACTTGGGGGTAAAAACCAAATGCCCCCTCCCACCTGTTATACCCCGCCACTGTTTGCTCATTCTACTCTTAGCATTCATGAACACACAATTTTGTTTATTTTCTTACACTATCAATTTATACGTCCTGTGCATGTGCTTTCGTAACAGTAGTTTTCAATGAAATGTTACGACCCTCATACCTTCGTATTATATAGTTTATCTGTTCACTGTCCAGATAAGAAAGGTTGAAATATTGAACCGCTCATGAATTAATCGATATATTGATATCTTTATTACGCAAGTCAGCTTAAATATTAAACAACTTACTTTTTCTTCTTATAAGTAGAATTTTTCAACGTTATAACGATATCGATGTCCAAATGTAATGAAATGAATGGAGTTTTACGTCCAACTCAGCATGCAGTGTGCAATGAAGGAAATTATTTCAAGACAGTGGCATCAGAATTCTTTTTAGATTTCTACGTTGGCTCTTTAATTTTTTCTTTAGCTTACTTACTACTATTTGCGTAAAAAGGTGCACCACCGTATAAGTTTTAATTCATGACAATGAACATATCTATACGTTACCTCTGATCTCCTTTAAATGACGAATGACGCCTCCGTAATTTCCTCGAACCACGTTTCCGGCTATTTTTTCTCCGGCTTGGGGAAAATCTTTCAATTTCATCCATTTTCATCAGTAGTGTTCAATCTTTTTCAGAAATCTGGGATATATTTCCCGTTTTTCATCAAATATGGTCCAATCTTTTGATATATTTGTCATAATTTCTTCATAAGTATTGATTAATCTTTTCAATGTTATGGTACAATCTTTTCCGTAAAACGTCTAAATTTTTTCATTAATATGTCCCAATCTTTTCAAAAAATTTAGCTCACTCTTTCGTTAAAGTATGAATCGTTCTAAATCTTTTCCTTAATAGCTTATGGCTTAATCTTTTCACAAATCTGTCTAATCTTTTCATAAATCTGGCTCAATCTTTTCATATATATATCTCAATATTTTCACATATATCTCTTTCAAAAACATTTAGCTCACTCTTTCTTTTCTTTATGAATCGTTCGTAATATTTTCCTTAATAGCTTCTGGCTTAATCTTTTTATACGTACGTATTAATCTTTTCATAAATCTGGTCCAATCTTTTCATTAATACGTCCGATCTTTTCACAAATCTGGCTCAATCTTTTCATAAATATGTCCCAATCTATTCTATAAACGTCTCGATCTTTTCTTTACATTAGTCTTATTTTTATGAATCGTTCCAAATATTTTCCTAAACAGCCTCTGGCTAAATCTTTTCATGAATTTGAGTCAATCTTTTCATAAATATGTCTTGATCTTTTCGACCCTTTTACAAATCTGGCTCAATCTTTTCATAATTGTCTAAATCTTTTCAATATATCTGTCGACCTTTTCATTAATATGTCCGACCTTTTCACAAATCTGGCTCAATCTTTTCATAAATGTCTAAATCTTTTCAATATATCTGTCGACTTTTTCATAAAATTGTGTCAATCGTTTCACAAATCGGTTTCAATAAGTCTTAATATTAACACAAATCAAATAATAGCACCGAGGAAGAAAAAAACACCAACAGAAAGAAGTATCCAAAGTTTAACAAGAATCAAAAAGAAATCGAAACTGCACTACAAATCATAAATTCATTCTATTAAAGCAAACATCATCACCGTTA